GCTGGCTCCTCCAGACAAACTCACAGAGGCTTCTGACCTCACGACTACAAGCTCAGAACCTGAGCTCAGGTTTAGGCACACGACCTCTTGGTGAGCAACAGCCCAGAGAACCATTGAGGCTCAGCCTCTCGAAGATGGGACAGGGAATCTGTCAATGGCCTGGCTGAGGGTCAGGCAGCCGAGAGACACCATTGTCCCTCTCAGCCCAGGACGAAGCCTCTCACTCTGCTAAACTCGGCAATGATCCCAGCGATCACAGAGATAGAGCCCATGACCCTCAGCCCACAGCAAGTTCTGGGTACCTTAATCCTAACATGACCAGACACACCAACCACATTCAGGACCGCAGAGCTGGCCACAAAGCAGGAGGGCCAGCCAGATCCCTGGCTCCTTCCCACGAGGGGACTCAAGGCCTCCACCCATCTCTGCAGTAACACCCACTGAAGCACACAGCTAGCAGCTAGAGGTACAGGTGGGTAAGCCCTGGTGGGGAATAGGCTGCCTCTGCCCTCCGCCCACACATCCCACCCAGCCACTTCTACCTCCAAGGCAGGCCACATTTACGTACTCAGAATGCCATACACTAGTCTGTCTGCCCGGGAGATGATGGTAACCACACAGACATGAGGCTAGCTCCCTCACCACGGGCACCAACTCCCTCCTCAGCTTCCCCTCATGAAGGGGCAGCAGCTGCCAGCCTTGGCCCCAGCACTGGCCACCCTAATGGGGGCCTTCTGCTCTGACCTGAGCCTTTAACAGTGTATGAGCAGAGTCCAGGTCCAGCCCAGAGCCCCTCCACCCTTCCTGCAGCAGCCCAGCCGTGGCATGGCCAAGTCCAAGGCCCAATCTGAGAAGACTCCACGAAGTCCCCTAAAGAGCCCACGGTCTGGGCCAAGGGTGTAGCTCAGCAGTACAAGTGCCTGCTTGGCAAGCGTGAAGTCTTGAATTTGATCCCCATAGTCCTGGAGATGCACATTTCCCTGGACTCAACGCAACAGTATGCGGTGGACCTGCTGTCCCAACCTGATGCCCGGACAGGTGGCCAGCTCAGCACTCCTCAGAAGCAGAGGGAGGGACGCCCACCCTCCCAGGCCAGGCCCAGGTCAGCCTCGTGCTTTCAGGTGCTCAGTCGCCCTGAGCACAGGCTCCAGGAGGCGTGCTACGTGGATACCCTCAGCCATGTGGTGGCCAACAGAAGCACATACATTAACCAGTCTGCAGGCCAGTTCACCAGCTAAAACGAACTGGAAAAAGAGAGAGCACACCCTGTCCATCATGAGCCTTGGTCCTCAGGCTGGGACACGGTCACAGCCCTTCAAAGCTCCCCAGGTGCAGCACGTTCAGAACTGGGATTGATCTCTCGCCATACAGCCAGCATCGGGGTCCCCAGGGCCCCCAGGGTGCACGTCAGGGGCCTCCAGGCCGCTGGCCACAGAGTGTGTCCTCCTGCTTCTCTGCACAGACTTGCGTGGAACCCTACAAAGCTGAGGTTTTCTGCTCTCTACTCTGTGAAGCGGTCCAGAGAGCTTCTTGCCTGCCTGTTAATTTGTTTTATTGCCTTGCAGCAACAAAAATGTTGAAATTTACTCCACGAGTAATCAGACAGAGTGATTCAAAGTGCTCCATCCTTCACAGTAATTCCACTTTAAATTATTGGTGAGGGTTAGAAATCCTGTGAGGAGGCTGGGGAAGTTGGAGAAGTCCAGCACCGACACCCCCCAATCCAGGTTTCCCTAGAAACCGCAACTCCCCAAGGCATTTCACCTTTTGGGAAATTTCCATAAGATTCTCCAACTGCTCAATCGATAGACATCTCCCTCCCTCCGTGGGAGGGCTGCAGGAAGGCCTGGCCTGCAGGAAGCTGAGCCATTCAGCAACTCAGCCTCCTCCCCTCTGGCGTGCCTAGTCCTACGGCACTACCAGTGGCCATCTCACCTTCCTGTGGTGTGGACCACTTGCCCCTGAGAGCAGCTGGCCAAGGCAGAGACACAGCTCCATACCATGCCTCAGGGCTAAACACGAGGCTGTGGGAAGGGCCCTGGGCAGCCTGGATTCCAGCCAGCTAGGTTATCCAGGGCCAACTGTGAGCCTGAGGCAAGGCCCCACCTGGCTCTCCCTTCACCTGGCCCAGGCCCTGCAAACTCAGAGGTCTCCACGGGGCAGCTGCGCCCATAGGGATGGAGGGGCCTTGGAGACCATCCACATGGCCTGGCCAGTGACATGCCCCCGGGTGCACAGTCCTCAAGCCCAGATTTTCCAGCTGGCCTACTTTACTTGCTCTCACCTCCTGGCCACTCAGCAGAAGAGATGCTGGAAAGGCAAACCATCTGCACCTCCAGGTTCTCACCTCTGAAGCAAAGGCCCTGTCTGCTTATTCGGGACAAACTTTCTCAGCCTCTGTTTCCCCATTACACCACTCTGGCAGGTTGGCAGTAAGTAAACAAGGCCAGCACAAAACAGGCACATCTGAGACCTCATTCCCCATCCTGTTCCCTCTGCTGCTGAGCCACATGGAGGCCTCTGCTGAGACTGCCCAGCTCCATGGACAGTGGGCAGCACGAGACCAGCCAGCCTGCCGGCTCAGGTTGGCAGAGGCCCCCCAGGGGTCACCCCCAGGGGGCTCCCAGAAGCAGCCCTATCTGCCAGCCCTAAAGCCCTTCCTGTGGCCCACTGGCGTGGGGAGAGCTGAGAGGTCAAGCAGGCTCTGCCCAGGCAGCATCCCAGGTGGGTCCGCCCCCACTGCTCGGGGCTCCTCCAAGAATGCTCACAGGCAGTGTGCAATGGTCCTGACTCCACTAGGCTGTGTCACAAGGCCCTGTGGTCAGTGGGCCTGGCTGACCTTGCTCATCAAACCCTGTTATGGGGCAGACACACTTCTCCTGACCGTGGACAGCAGCTGTCCCTCAGGGATCCAGGAGGAATCGCTGAGAGGCTGGCAGAGATCAACCTCTCAGGAAGACGGGAGGGTGGCCCAGATGGGCCCAGCACTGCCCAGACACAGGACTCCCATCCATTCTGTGCCCAGGCCCTGTCCTCTACTTGCTGTCCTGGGACCCAGGGAGAGACTCAATCTTCCTTGTTATTCAGTGAACAAGCCAAATGGGGCCCGATGCATAACATGGGTCAGTGCACACTGGGCCAATGGGATACATGGGCCAGTCAAATTCAGGAAGCTCAGGCCACCCAGTCTCTGGAGCTGGATGGCAGCTAGGCTTAGAAGGTCCCTGGGGACCTGGGGACCTGATGAGTGACAACAGCTGTATGAGCTGTATTACCATGCACAGTGGGCCACTGGGTACCTGGAAGGGCTGGACACTTTCTCAACTAGTCTTCACACATCCCCAGGGGTAGGGGGCAGCTGTGCCCACTTTACTGATGAAAAAAGAAGGTCTTCCAAGGAACCTGACTGAGCCAAAGTCAGCTCCCAGATGCCTACCCTCACCCAACACAAGAAAGCTCCAGGGTAGAGTGGTGCCATCTCCCCACAGCTACTCCTGCCAGGGAGCTGGAGTTTCAGAAAGCCAAGGAGAGAGGCCTGAGGCAGGCTGCTGGTCAGCTGCTTCCACGGTGAGGTCCCACCCTCAGGCAGGCACGTCCAGGGGGTGCAGAAGCAGAGTCTGAAGGTGCCAGGGTCCCCACACACCCTGCTGCCATTCTGGATGCTTCAACTCGGTGAAGAGACAGGACGGCAGGCAGCGGCCCTGGAGGGCTGACCAGCCCAGGCCAGGAACAGGGCCATCGGGGCTCCTCCCCCAGGGAACCCTCCCAGCCCAGCCCACTGAACCTGAACTCTGTCCTGTTCGAGGTCCTGAAGTCACAGGTCATGAGCTAGCCGGCCAGGCAGACAAGTAGGGTGGAGGTAGAGGCTGCCAGAGGACCACTGAGGACACACAGGCTCTTCTGAGACTCAGGCAGCAACATGCAGCCCCTAGACCCCTGAGCCACCTGGGAAAGCCAGATTCACCTCCCTGGGGAGGCGGGGTTGCCAGTCCCGACTGTTCCCTGGCAGCACCAGCACAGCCCGGGAAGCCCCCGCCATGGGGCTTTTCCCCTCAGTCCTGTCCCCTGGCCCCATACCACCAGTCCCACCCCAGGCCACATGCCCCTCACAGCCCAGGCGAGCACCTGTCTGGGTACTTTCCCACAATCGTTCCAGGCTCCCATCCCAAAATGCCTCTTTCACACAAAATGGCTGAGTCTCCGCTCTCTTCCTGCAGCCATGCTCAGCTGGGATGGGAGCAAAGCACCCCACACCGGAAGGCTGTGCACACACTCACACTTGCACACGCAGTCACATGCAGCAACTCATGTGCTATCACACGCTGACACCGATGTGAACACGAACATGGTGGCTGCCCGCCAGGCCTGGGAAGAGCGCTGCCCTTTTGGAGGCCCAGGGCTGTCGGTCCTAAGGCAGCAGCAGCCCCTGCTCCCCACTTCATCTGCAGGAGGGAGTCAAGGGCCCAGAACGACAGGGGCCGCTGGCAGCAGCAGAGACGGGTCGAAGCTGCGGTAGGCGCAGCGGTGAGCAGATTCAGGTCCAGGCAGCGATGGGTTCGGACACGCACAGGGCAGAACCCGCAGCGGCCTCGACCAGGGCTGGGGAGGGGACTCCCTCCCCCATTTTAGCAGCCCAGAAGCTCGAAGGGAGAGCGTGAAGTTGGGAGGAGGGCGAACAGCGGCCAGCCCCGGGTCGGGGGCGCCCAGCGCAGAGGCGCGCAAAGAGCGCAGACCCCGGCTGGCTGCGCAGCCCTCCCTCGCCGCCGGCCCTTTGTTCTGCGCCGCGGGCCGCCGGGAGGAGCTGCTCGGGCTGCGGGGGAGGGGGCTTGGGTCGGGCTGCGGGGGAGGGGCTGCTGCAACGCCGTCGGGCCCCCCACCCCGAGCCCCGGATCCCAGAGCGCCTTCCAGATGGGGTAGGAGCCGCGCTCCGGTCTGCGCGCTCTGCTGGCCGGGGACGGTCCCTGACGCAGCCCCGGGCCGCCGCGCCCCCGGCCACTCACACGTAGGCGTGGTAGATGAACGCCCAGCCGCGGGGCCGCTCCAGCACGTTGTACAGGAAATTCTGCAGCTTGCGGTAGAAGGCGTTGCGCTTGGGGGGCTTCCCGGCGCCCGCGCCGCCCGCGCGCGGCTTGCTCAGGATGCTGCCGCGCTTGGGGGCCTCGGAGCCGGCGATGAGCAGCGCGCCGTCGCGGGTGGAGTCGGGCGCGCCGGGGTCCAGCCCCACGAACCCCACCTTGAGCTTCTTCTCCCCGCTCGGGCCGGGGTACACGCCGCCGTTGCGCGACTTCTGCACCATGGTGCCGGGCGGCGCCCTGGCCGGACGCGGGCTCAGCGAGGGCGGCGCGAGGGGGGCGGCGCGGGCCCCAGCCCAGGCCCCCGGCCCTGGAGCCGCATGGCCCAGGCGCAGCGGCGGCGGCTCCGCGCTCCTGCCCGGCCGGCCGCGCGCGAAGACGCATCGGCCACCTCGCTCCGCCCGCCGCCTGGCCCCGCCCCCGTTAACCCCTGCGCCGCTGCTCGGTGCCCATAAGGGAGGGGAGGAGAAGGAAGAGGAGGGGAGGGGAAGAAAGGGAAGGGGAGGGGAGGGGAGGGGAGGGAGGGAAGGGAGGACGGGGGAAGAGAGGAAGGCGGCCGAGGGCTGGGCCAGACTAGGTCCCTGGGCCTCGCGCACTTGCCCCTTCTGGAGCCACCTGGTGGTCCCTCCTGACATGGGCAGGACCAGGCTGGGGCATGCCAAAGCGGACTCCTGCCAGCTGGGCCCCAAGAGTGGACACCTCTGGCAGAAGAAGGTTCTAGCTCTTAGCAAGTTCTGGGTTAAAGTCCGACCGCCGGGATCCTCTACTCCTGATATTGGAGTGGATCAGGTTGGGTTTTTTTGTTGGTTGTGTTGTTTTGTTTTGTTTGTATTGGGAATCGAACTCAGCGACTTCACGCTTGCCAGGCAGGTGCTGTGTCGCTGAGCTGTGTCCCCATGGACCGGGCATTCGGCCCCAGCCCTTTTTGGGTGTGCAGAGAGGATTTGGGAAGCCTCTATGAAACAGCCTGAGTGGGGCCTGGAGGGGGCCCCTCTGGGGGAAGGAGCATTCCTGGGGGCAAGAGGAGTGAAGAAGAGGGAAACAGGAAAGAGGGTAGTCGGGGAGGTGGGCCCAGAAGTCTCGGGGGCCTAGACTTTGTTTTGCAGACCCAGAAGGAGCCCACAGCAGGACGCAGCAGGACATGAGCTGAAGCAGCACAGAAGCCCGTGGGGACCTGTGTCACCATCCCAGACAGAGGAGGGCAGACGCTGCACACAGCGGGAGGTGCTATGACCCCCTGCTTCCAGGGACAGGGGTGCTCTGGGAAGGCCCCTTAGAGCGAATGCAGGCAAGCCAGAGTCCCATTGTTTAGGCCTTTGGACTGGTGATTCAGGGGCCAGCAGCTCACCATCCCACCCCACAGCCTCCCTCTGCAGCCAGGGGTCTGCTGCCCTAGGTCACCTGATTCTGTTCAGCCACTTTTCACTGTCGTCACCTAGCACCACGTGTTCTGCTGAAAGAAAGTCCTCTACAGTAACAGGCTCTGTCCTCAACTGTAAATGCCACTAACCTCAACGCAGTCAGCCCTTGGGCTGTGTTTGCTTTCTGGGTCCCAGTGCTCATGGCCACAGAGCTTGTTTCAGGTTCGGGAGTTTGTCAAGGGGTTAATTAGGCTAAGCAGAGGGCCAGTGGGCACAGTGCTAACTTGTCCATTATCTAAAATGTTAGAGATGAGCTGTCACATTCACAGATATGTGCACCTGCCACACATGCGTGGGACACTGGGCGCACTCCTGACCCTCCCCCTCTTCCTCTATGCCCACACAAACAGCACCTGGGCTTGCTGCCTTCTGAGCCAGCCATGCCAGCCCAGGGGGCCAAGGGAGGAGGTGCTGGCCCAGGCCCAGAGGGAAGAAAGCACTACCCCAGCTCCCTGCACAGGTTGGCTGGCCATAGTGTGGGGTCACCTTCCTTTGTCCTCATTCTCATTCTGCAGAAGAACAAAGCAATCGTGATCACACACACAAACCCTGGAAGGCCCCGACTCCCTCATTCTGTTAAGGGGAAGCCCGACACTCAGTCTGTCCCCTTTCAGAAGTCAGAGTGGGGGGACCATGGGAGGGAGAGGTGATTTCAGGCCCCATTTTAGCAGGAGCACAGGCACTGAGGGTGGAGGATAAGGGTGTCTGAGGTTTCAGGACAGTGGGAGACACAAATCTACTCCTCTTGTCTTTTAGAAAAATGTAGGACCCATCTCTGGGGTTGTGGGGAGCCACCTACAGCTGCCACAGTCATGGGGGCAGCAAGCAGTGAGGCCCCTCAGTGGGAGATTGGAGGGGAGCCGGAAGCAGGCAGTGAATTTGCATCTGTGGCCCTGCTCCCCTCCTCCCAATGGTGTTTGCACTGGCAGTTTCTCTGCATCTCAGAAGGTTCCAGAAAGTGAATCCTGCATCACAGCTGAAAGTCTCTGCTTCCTGTGTTTAGGATGTCCTTCAGCAAGCTGGCTCATTAATCATTTATGTCGTTAGTGTCATGCCTTGCACACCTGTGGGTCTTGCCTTGTCAGCAGTCTGGTTCCACCATGCCCCTGCCCTGAAACTCCAGGGAAGTGGGTCATGAAAATGCCCAGTTAGGACAAATTTCATGCAAGCAACAGGAATTCCATTTCATTTAAAAATAGATGGGAAAAGCTTTCAGGCTCAAGCCATCTTTGCCAAGACTGCATCGACAGGATTCCAGTGAGAAAGAGTGGAAAAATTCAGATGCACACGACGGCGACTCCAACTGGGGAGAGCGCTCTACCTGGCTTGGGCAGCAGCCTGGCTCCAAACTGGGCGCTGTCCTTTCAGCACCCGGCAAAGTGCCTGCCCCGAAAGCTTGCTCCTTTGGGCAGGCAGATCTCCAGCCCGTCCTGTGCCCACATCCCCAGGCAGCACTAAGCAGCCAGAGAAGGTGGGTGCTGAGCTGACGAGCAGACACTGCTGCTGTACCAAAGGCCAACTCGGAGTTGCCCTGAATCCCACCTGCCCCAGAGTCCGCCGTGTGTTCCTTTCCCACCGGAAAACACACCACAATGTGACCACTTGCATCCTTGCGTGGGTCCCCCACACTTGTGCTTCCCTTGCCTGCTGCCCCCTAGAGCCTAGAACAGATAAGTGCTGCTTAGGGAGGAGGCCAAGTCAGAGCACATTTGAGAGCTCCCTCTCTGGACAACTTACTGGGCCGCATGCCTTTCGTGAGCAGGCCGGGGAGCAAGATTATCCTGCTGCTGTGGGCTGAAGGGCAACCTCAGGGGTCAGGACTCAGATTTAGGGGAAGCAAGGGGGCATGAAGCCCAACCTCCCTGGGCTGTCCGGGCGTGCCACCAGCAGCACCACAGCAGAGCACAGCACAGAATGTGTTGGCAGGAGACAGCACCTCCTGGCTCCTCCGCTCTGGGCACGTGGAGGACATTGGTGTCCAGGTATTTGGCCACCCAGAGTCCTGTGGACCACTGATCTCCCACAGCAGCACACACACACACTGAAAAGCAGTTTTCCATTTCACCTCACTCCCACCCCATCTCCTCCTGCCCAGCCACAGCACCCCAGGGAAGACGGATGAGCTCGAAGAGCCCAGAAGGGAAAGCTCCACCAGCTGTGAAACTAGACTTAATCTGGGGAAATGAAAAGAGAGAGGTTCTCAATCACTCCACCTGGGTCAGAGCTGATGTTGTTTTCAGTCTGGAATTTGGACCACAGGAAGTGCCTGCCCAGATCAAAGTTCCAGCTGCCCCCCAGGGAATTTTCCATTATTAGGAGGGGGAGGGACTGTGTTATCCAGTTAGGCGGGAGCAGGAAAGTGAGGGAAAGATTTAAGATATGAAGGCATTGATTTTTTAAACATCTTACACTAACGCTTATTGACTAAAGTCAATAGAAATTTAATTTACAGTTCTCTAAAAAGGACCAGGCCTCTCATCAAGCTCCCCCAGCCCCCAGAAAACCAGCCAGTTGCATGAGGAAATAGACTCACATTTCTTAGCTACCAAGGGCTTAACCATTGGAGTCTCTGTCTCCAAAGATAACCAGTGACAAGATCAAGAGTAAAAGTGGCCCAGAAGTGTCCAGAGAAAGTGGGATTCAGGCTGTGGTCTCCTGGTGCTTGAAGGAACTCCTGCTCGGGGAGTGTTCCATGACATGAGGAACACGGAGCCTGCAGTTCACCTGGGGTGTGACTGGGTCTCATCGATGAGTTCTCTGTGCCCACGCTCCCCTGGGGCCCTGATGCTACCCAAATACTTTCAAATTATGGATCCAACCTACACTTGTTCTAGGACCACACCCACCTCTGCCCTCCAGCTGCTGCCCAGCACACCCTCATCCCAGGGCCTTTGCAAATAGTTCCCCCTGTTCAGAACACTGTTCCTTCTCCTTGTAAGGGTGGACACAGACGCTACTCAGAGAGGCCCTGGTGGTGGATCTACGCTGAAGCAGGACCTCCCTGGCCCTACCACTCTCACTTGCAGGTCTGGTTCCTCATCACAGTCCGATGCTCTCTCAGCTGTCTTTTCCACTTCTGCAGCTCCCCTCCCTCTACACTGAGCTCAGGGAGGGGCCCAAGGAACCCCTCAGCCTCTAGCCCAGCCCAGCAAACGGGCTTGTCAAGGTTCTGCAGTGAAATGAACTGTCACTCTGACCTAGGCTAAGTCTGTCTGCAGCTTCCAGCCAGAAATGTCCTGGGTGACAGACCTGGGATTTGGATGACTCCGCCTGCTGGGGGAGACCCTGGGATGCAGCAGTGGAGCTCAGAACGACGGAGACTGGCTCCTGCGAACAGAATGGCCGGCCGCCTGCCCACACACAGGCTGTCGGCATCTGCACCCTGGCTGCTCGCCCACTGCCAGTCCAGGCTTGCTTGAGTGCCTCTCTTGGCCAGATGTCCAGCAGACTTTGAACAGAGTGTCCAGCCTGGGGCTGCAGAGCCCACAGGCTATCAGGGTTCCTGCCCCCACCTAGCCCCTTGCTCCAACAAGGTCACCAAATGCCACACTGCAGGGATGGGCGGAATGGCTGGGTTCTCTAAGCAGCAGATCAAGGACTCACTGGCAGGACAGGTGCTAGATAGAACCTTTGCTGCTACCAGTGGCTCAGGCCAGCAGCTCCACCCAGCTCCACCCAGTACTGGCAAGCTCACCTCCTGCAGCTGCAAGGCTTGGCCCCAGAACAGACTCCAGCGCACTCCCCAAGCTGTGTGACCTTCAGCAGAGCAGGCGACTGCTCACGGCCTGTGCTGTGCTCGGTGTTTGTGCCCCAGACTCATTGTTGCAGTCCCAACTCAAAGTGACGGTGCAGGAAGCAGGGGCACTGGGGCTGGGCAGGTCATGAGAGTGGACCCCATGCTGGGTCTATGCCCTGTTTGGAGAAGTGCAGGGCTTGGGCTCCCTCTCTTGGCCCCTGCCACACAAGGCCACAGAAAGGCTCTGCTAGCCTGGAGTCAGGCCCTCATCAGACTGTGGATCTAGAAGCATGTCAATCTTGGACTTCTCCAGAATTCTGAGAAATAAATTTCTCTTTTAAAGTTTTCCAGTCTAAGAATTTTCTATCATAGCTGTCCAGCTGATAAGATGAAACCCCAAGTTCTCTTCTGCTAATGGAGAGTCACAGTGCCCACTGCAGGACAAGCTGGCAAAACACCTTGGAACCAACGTTCCAAGATAGCACTAGCAAAAAAAATTAAAAAATAAAAAAAATTAAAAAAAAAAAAAAAGATAGCACTAGCTCCAAATCGGCCGCGAATGTGGTAGGAAGGTGCTCACGGGGACCCAAGCTCCTGGCTTCTCTGCAGCCCTCTTCCTCAGCTTCACATAAGCTTTTACAGAGCTTCCCGTGCGTAACAGATGAAGAGAGAGTACGTGTTCATCCCTGCAGCTCAGACAGGCCGGCTCTGTCCCAGGCACTGGCTGTGGCCCACTTCCTGCTGTCCCCTCACAGAGGTGCTGTCGGTTGAGGTCAGCAGTTCTCACCAGCCCTGGGTTCCCCTTAGGGAACACCTGGCAATGTCTGGAGGCCTTTTTTTTTTTTTTTTTATGGCCACAACTGGGTCACAGGTGCTACTGGCATCTAGTGGTAGAGGCCAGAGATGCTGCTTACTGTCCTGCATGTACAAGGTGCCCCTCTGCGAGAATTATCCAGCCTTGGTATTGGTAGCACTCAAGTTAAGAAATTTAAATTAATGATGTCCTGTATCAAAATACAGGGCCAAGGATTTGGCTCAGTAGCACAGTGCCTGCCTGGCAAGCACGTTTGATCCCCAGTACCAAAAAAAAAAAAAAAAATTAAAAAATTCAAGGGTTAAAAAATAAAATAAATTGCGAAGTTTGTGATATGTTTCAAATTCATATCTTAGCTTTAAAGAAGGATTTTCTCTCCATAGTTTCTGAGGACACCCAAGCTAAGGGATGGGAATTTCCATGGAAAAGAAAGCAAGAGATGAGCCACAGAGAAGAAAGCCAAGAGCCCTGGGAAAGGCTTTCACAGGCAGCATCTGCACGACGACCACCTCAGCAGGTGCGGGAGTGGACCTGGCATTACAGTTGCACAAGGTGCCCATTGGTCTCTATGCTGTGAGCCTCTGAACTGAGGGGGAAATGCTGCTTCCACAGCAAAACAGTACTGCTTATGCTTGACCATGAGCTTAGTTTACTTCTGTGATTTTGGACTGGTGGCCGGATCTCCTTGAACCTCAGTTTCTTTACTGGCAAAATGGGGGTAAAGGCAGTAAGTATCTCCTAGGATTGCTATGGCAGCGGATGAGCGAAGGTTTGGGAATAGCTAGAGCAGTGCCTTGCAGGAAGAGGCATTATATAAGTGTGAAGGTAAAAATAACCCAATCAACTCCAGCTGGTGCTCAGCGCGTCTCCTCCACACACTGCCATCCTCAACTTCCAGGCACAGAGCATGGGCATGGGAGACGATGGAGCCCACAGAGGAGGGAGAGGCCGCCGAAGGCAGGCTAAATGCCAGGTGGGTGCAGACTCACCCTTCCAGGGGGTAGAGCCACAGGGAAGAGCCCCTGAAACCCAAGGCCTGGCACATGTTCCGCCCCTCCCCAACCCCCAGGGTAAAAGGCTTACTAGATAGGGGATGGACAGGGGAATGTCACAATCCTGCCTGTGACCTGAGGGCCACTGGGTATCCTGTGGCCATTCCCTGTGCAGTTCAGTATTGCCCCCTTGCACCTTCCAAAGAACTCAGCCCAGCGGCTTGACTTGGTCAACTTTGGATAGCAAAAAGTGATGGACCTCCCCATGGCTCAGAAGCCCCTCAGCTCAAAGGCAGCACAAATGTAACCCAGAGTCCTCTCCACAGAGCCTTCAGGCACAAGGCTGTCTTTCTGCCCTGCACTGCAGTGTCCCCATAAGACAGCTGGTGAAGATTCTTCAGTCTTCAGGGAGACAGCTCACTAGGTATCCCACCCACCAGCCCCCCAGGCCCATTCTGTGAGCTCTGCCACCTCTCTTCATGAGACACAGACACCCTTAGCACCTGCTGCCCACCTCATCCTCAGTGCTGTGGCATGGCCTAGCCTGCCAGGTGAGCAGCACCAGCAGGAGGAGGAGAAGCAGGAGGAGCAGGAGGAGGAGCAGGGGGAACAGGACGGGGAGGAGGAGCAGGAGGAACAGGAGGAAGAGAAGCAGGAGGAGGAAGAGCAGGAAGAGGAGGATTAGGAGGATCAGAGGGAGCAGGAGAAGCAGGAGGAAGAGAAGCAGGAGGAGGAAGAGAAGGAAGAGGACGATTAGGAGGATCAGAGGGAGGAGGAGCAGGAAGAGCAGGGGGAGGAGCAGGAGGAGCAGGAGGAGCAGGAGGAAGAGCAGGAAGAGGAGCAGGAAAAGCAGCAGGAACAAAAGTAGGAGCAAGAGCAGGAGGAGGAGCAGGAGGAACAGGAGGAGGAGCAGGAAAAGCAGGAGGAGGAGCAGAAGCAGGAGGAGCAGGAGGAACAGGAGGAGGAGCAGGAAAAGCAGGAGGAGGAGCAGAAGCAGGAGGAGCAGGAGGAACAGGAGGAGCAGAGAGGAACAGGAGGAGCAGGAGGAACAGGAGGAGGAGCAGGAAGAGAAGAAGGAGGAGCACGAGGAGGAGGAGGAGCAGGAGAAACAGGAGGAGGAGCAGGAAGAACAGGAGGAGGAGGAACATGAGGAGCAGGAGGAGCAAGAGGAGGAGGAGGAGCAGAAGAAGCAGGAGGAGGAGCAGGAGGAACAAGAAGAGGAGCAGGAGAAGCAGGAGGAGGAGCAGGAGGAACAGGAGGAGGAGCAAGAGGAACAAGAAGAGGAGCAGGAGGAGCAGGAGGAGGAGCAGGAGGAGCAGGAGGAGGAGCAGGAGGAGAAGGAGGAGCAGGAGGAGGAGCAGGAGGAACAGGAGGAGGAGCAGGAGGCAGGAGGAGGAGCAGGAGGAGCAGGAGCCTCATTTCTCAGAGGCCCTGTTCTGCCTTCTCCACAGAGTGATCCTTCAGGAGTAGTAAAGGAAGCCAGCAAGCTGGCACCCCATGGCCGCTCAGAAACCACTGGGCTCCTGGTTTCTGTCTCTCAGGAGGGCTTCCCTTGCCCCAGCAGGCCCAGCCAGTCCTGTCCTTTAGCCATGCTGGCTTCTCCCTGTCCTATTGGTCACCTCTCACCTGACTCAGCCCTGACTCTAGGCAGACAGCCAGCGGCACAGGTACACATGGACACCTAGGTATACTGCAATAGGCAAGTGTGCATGCAAACGCATGCGCACTGTTCTAGCTGCCCAGGGCTCTGGTACACCCTGCAAGTTCTCCCAGGCTCCACACAGCTCCCTGCAGATATGCACAGTTCTGCACCCAAGACTCACCCCGCAAGCACGCAGGCCCACCCTGCGCACACTGACCCCGCACACCTGCACTCCCTCCCCAGGCACATGAGGCCACCCGAGGGACAGTCATTTCCAGTAGAAGCTGCATCTGTCTTGAGGCTCAACCCCTTGGAGGGAGCCCAGGAGCCATCACTCAGACACAGCATGGTCACACCAGGGCTCCAGCCCTCCAGCCACCACCAGAATCTGGGGAAGGTTGGCAGCTTCCCTCCGGCCTGAGTCACCAGGAGCACTGGGATCCTGGGCAGGAGACAGGTTGAGTTCAGCCAGCTCAGCAAGTCTCCACACTCTGCCCATGACTCCACGACCTTTTTCCACAGGTCAGATTGAAGCTGCCAACTGGTGTCTTGGTGGAGCCTGCTTTATTCATTCATCCAACATAGGGTGTCTCCAAATCCCACCCTGTGCCCTAACTTCAGGACTGTCATTGAGGTCCCCACTCCCTTGGGACTGCAGTCTACCTCCCTGGATCTGGGGTTCTCCTAAACCACATGGTAGCCCAATTGCCCTGGCCTGACACTGTAATTCCACCCATGTCAGGCCATGGGGCACTGTCCAGGCTGTGGTTAATTGCCCTTACCCTGTCCAGCTGCCCCCTGGGCTTCCCAAGCTGATTCCCAGGAGCCAGTACTGGATTTGCTTCCAATGAATGCCCCACTCCCACTTGCAGTGAAAAAAGGTCTATCCCATGTTACTGGACCTAAGGGGTATCCCATGTTGTCACCTCCATCTCAGCCATGACTCAGCCAGATCTGACAGATGGTCAGTGCCCACCATCTCCTAGTGCCCCCAAGCCACCCAGAGTTGGACAGATCCAGTAATTCCCCCAACACCCAGGACTGCACCCGTGGCCACAGGCCTGTTTTCCCCAGAGCTGTGGCAGGCCAGACACAGGGGCAGCCCTCTTAGAGATCAGTGGGAAAGTCCTGCCACTCTCAGAGGTAACTGTGCTGTCCCCTCACCCCACCTCACTGTCAATGCTGGAAGCTCAAAACAGGTTTCTGCCTCCTCTAGTCTTGCCCCACCTGGAGACACCCCCAGAGCTAGGCACAGGGACTGCAGCAAGCTCTGAGCCCTAGGCAACAGACCTAGGAACTTGAATCTGCCGGGCCTTGGCTTCATTACCCCGCTCCACAAGTGGGGCACAGGGCCAAGGCCCTCTCCATAGATCTCATCCTCCAGGTCACTTCAGCCAGGATGCTCCCACCAATTACTCATGGGAACAGGAGTGCCCTCACTGCTGGTCCTCAGGAACCTGGGACTCCTCAAGGCTGCATCCTTCCCTGCCCCCAGGAATGCATCCATCTTGTGAGGGACAGTGTGGCCCAGCACAGACCACAGGCCAGCAGGATGGGCAGGAGTGGGCGACAGGCTGACATGACTGATCAGCAGCATCTGGGTGACCAGCATTCCCAGAGACTCCAGAAGTTTGCAACAGCAACTAGGAACAGGAGAGTGAGGGGACCTCACCGTCCCTCCTGGTCTGCACATGGGCCCTTCCTTCAACTGCAGCAAGGGCTGCCTCTCACTCAGCCTGTCTCAAGCTGGCAGAGATTTCCAGTGTGACCCCAAGTCTAGCTGAGTCAAGTGTGGAAGCATAACTTCCTGGGGCCAGCAAGCTCCACAGTGTCACACTTAGTGTTACCAACAATGGTGGCCCAGGAAAGGACCAGGACAGGACAGGACCCTTTGGGAGA